AAAAATTTTGAAATTTACAAAATCTGAAAGAAGAAAATGTTTGTGTTCAATCCCCCCTCGACTCTTGATACAACCTTACACTATCCCAACAAAGAAGTGTGGATCAAGGTACCTTATAAAGTTCTTGAAGTGCTCAAGAAAATTTTGTTGTCAAGAGAAGTGCTGACTAGATCGAAATCAGGAATGGCTTAGGCCTATTGGTACGAAAGCTTCTAAGTGATAGAAATCCCGAGGAATCTGCAGGCGCTCTTAAATCGCATAATTTTACAACTTTTCTCACCAAAATATGCACACAATGTGATTTCAGATGATCAAGTTTGAAAATTTTCTTGCTAATAGAATGACCTTTCAACCCTAAAAGACAACAAATCTATACGAGGTCACAAAAAAAGAGCTGCATGTCTTGAATATCAGATTTTTTTTAATACCCCCCCCCCCGCTTGAAATGCGGGAGGGTATAGAGTAACCGGTATGTCCGTCCGTCTGTTACGCTTTGGGGTACCCATCTCTTATCCGCAACTCCTCTCATACCACTGAATGAAATTTGATGAAACTTTCACAGAATCTTTATTACATATTGCCATTGTTAACTTCTAGTTTACTTTTTGATCCGACACATATTTTGGGTTTCCCATAGCAAAACATGGACACTGTCATTATATTCATATGGGAGACCGGGGTATCATTTAGTGAGCTAATTGCTCACAGCACCTTTTGTTCATTTTGCATATGGTTTTGGATAAAAAAAAAATAGACTTTTAACATTTAAACATAAATGTGTTGTTCCTTGAGTTTTGGGTGATTGATTGTATATTGTTTAACGCCGAGTCGGCAATTTTTCAGCCATGTTTCGGCGGACTATCAGTTTAAATAACCGGTTTTTGAAGTATTTTGGTTTTTCAAATCCAGAAAAACGATCTTTTACATGCCAAGGGGGGTTGTCATCCTTGACACGGGGCACCATATTACTTGAGTGTTGAAAATGCCAAAATTCCGAAGACAGACTAAAACATATACCAAATAAAGCTGGAATAGAAGATGTTAGGGGATAATACTAAGTTCTTATAAGTGCTAAAAAGCTAGAACAAAGTGTTCGATGAAATCGGACAAGAATTTCTTCACTTATATTTGATTGTGTGCCGAGGGATGTTGAGGTAGAAGTTGATAATGACAGGATTCGGGAGTGATATTAGATGGACGGGGGCTCAAAGGCTTTGGAACACGTACGGTCAAATTTGGAAATTTGGAAACTCTTAAGTCGAGTTGTTTTAACTATTTCCAGATATTTAATGGACTAATCAATATAATATATACTATATATGTGGTAGTGTTAGATTAACGGCATCCTACTAGCATGGGCTAGTGGGTTAACCCTTTAGCTCAATCGGTAGAGCACTGGACTGGCATGCCAGAGGTCCCGGGTTCGATCCCCAGCAGAGGCAATAAAATGTCTCTGTTACATTTGGCGCCCACGTTGGGACCCGGGTGTTCTCTGGCGGGTGAGAGTGATTGCCCCCAGAACTTCGCCCCACAGGCGTCGGCACTCCGAAAGAGATGAGGACATCTTATTCTCTGGAGGGGGACAATGTGGTAGTGTTAGATTAACGGCATCCTACTAGCATGGGCTAGTGGGTTAACCCTTTAGCTCAATCGGTAGAGCACTGGACTGGCATGCCAGAGGTCCCGGGTTCGATCCCCAGCAGAGGCAATAAAATTTCTCTGTTACATATATATAAAAAACAAACTGTAATTTATTTTCTGCAAAACTAACCAGAATTAAGCAGTTTCTACGAAATTCGAGTGTAACGGACGTCATTTTGAATCTCCATTTTTAGCTAATTAACACATTTCATTTATACGACTAAATTTTCCGATTTAATGTGATCGAATAAGTGTTCTGTTGACATTTTACATAGTTGTACTACGCTCAGTAAAATATTTACAAATACTTTCTCCTATGTAAACGATATTAAGAAATAATTTTTTAATATCCGCCATTTTGAATCGCCATTTTGACTTTTAATTTACAGCTGCGCCATCATTCAGTTGTAGAATAGTGAGATGCAGAGGAAAAAAATACAAATCTACAGTGTATGAATATTTTCAAAAGTAAAATCCTGAACAAAGCGGAATATCGAACAATAGACCAAAAAAATCAGAGAAAATTCGAATTAAGTGTAGAAACCACTAATTTTTCTGAGTTTAACTAATAAAATTAGCATTCTATTATCATTTTTATACTTGTATTACACTCAGTAAGATATTCACACATTATTTCTCCTTTTTGAACGATATTAAGAGAAAATTAGAAAAATTGGATGTCCACCATTTTGAATCGCCATTTTGACCTCTTTAACGCCATTTTCATGAAAGCCAGCATATTTTTTCGGATTCAGCATACTCGAAATAGGTTAAAAATCTATGCTGGACCAAATAATAATTATTTGCCGTTAGAAGTATTTTTTTCTATAAATCGGACCAGACTAATCACCCTATTTGAACCAAAGTTTTTAAAAATTTCCAAATAATCAGGCTGTCAATAAAACAAGAAGTTGCTGTTTTTAAGTTTAATTAACAAGAGTTAAGGCAATGGTCTTGAATTACATTTATTCTAAAGAAGTTAATGAACCCTGTAAAATTGGGGCTTTATTGAAACTCTAACATACAAAACAACTGCTCTTGTGGAACAGACAAATTGACGAACCTTTATTTTCATTTTTTCTCAAATTCGTTCAAAATAATAAATCAATTAAAGTGACATAATTCCCCGACCCAACCACATCATTTACTCTCCTCTGTAATTATTGAACTCAAATAACCATCCTTGGAAACTGAGCAAGGTCTTTTCTATAATCTAAAGGTTATACATATAGTAGTTAAGTCAACATATGATAAATAAATCAAATATTAGAGATAAACTCTTTAACAGGGTGTTTGAAATGTCCGTTTCTATTCTATTTCAGGTTACCATTTTGCATCAGCAGCATATTACTGCAATTACTACTACAGCTACTGCTACTATTACTAACACTACTACTATTACTAATCCTCCTACAGTAGCACCGGGACCATCGCTGGAGCTGTTGTAGGTAGCATTGTTTTTCTAATCATCGTAGCGGTTGTTGCTTTAACTAAAGCAAAGCTCGTTGCAAAGCAACGAGTAGGTCTTCCGTCCTGTTTGACCTGAAGTAACTTTTATTTAAAAAAAAAAGAGAAATGACGCCTCTAATGATTTATGTTGAAAACTGCAAAAGTAAGCCATTTTTTGCTACTTCCTGTTTGACCGGAAGTGACGTCGACGGACGGAAAATTAAGTTTCATGCTTCTAGTGACAAATATTTCCCCAAAACATGTCAAAAACGGCAAAAAAATGCAGTTCCGGACTACTTCCAACTTTGCTTCTTTGATGTATAACAAATTCTCAATACTTTTTGAGATGTTTGGAAAAAAAACTTATGGCCCCTCTAGATCCCTTAATTTAGGGGTCAGCCCTTTTTCCGAGATATCATTTGAAAGATCTTCTAATTCTGCACAAATGATGTTCTATATGTTTTAACAAAATACTTTTAGTTTAGAAGATAAAAAGCAAAATATTAGTAAGTTTTGGTTCTTTTAAGCGTTCTAATTTTTGACCTCTATATAGCGCCATTTTGAATAGAGAAATTGAAAAACAAAAACCGATGTGCACAACTTTAATCCTAAATTTCTGCTCCAGCTTTAGCCGTCTCTGAGCCTTTGTCTGGAAACGAAAGCCTATAAATTTTCATTTAATGGGAAATAACTGAAAACCGGAAGTGACTTTTTGAAATTTTAGACAGCATTCTGATAGAGTTTTGTAACTTCTAGTACCTCTGAAAATTTGAACGAAATCAATTGAGAAATGAGTGAGGTATGAGGCTTCAAAGTTGGCGTCTAGGAAGTATAGAAAAAAAAGAATAATAATCTTTACCAACAGAATCAGTAGAAGGTCTTCCGTTGGAAACGGAAGACCTTAGTTATCTGTTGTAAGAAAAAGAACCGACCGGGAATGGTCATTCAAAACACTCCTGCAGTTCACACTGTGACTACAGGTAAGGGTGTAACTTTATTATTGTACCCAAATCCTTTTTTTTTCCTTTGAGATGTCTAGTGAAATCATGTAGGCTTGTACAGAAAATGGTGTATATTTCTTAGTATTTATTATAATCGATGGCTGAAAAATAATAATTAATCAGTAAGCACAAAATAAAAGTATGAAATTCCTTGCCACATATTAATTTACAAATTCATAACATCCCCTTAACACGTAACAGATATATTAGGATTAAATAAGTAAATAGAGGCTGCTGTAGAATTAATTACAGTCTGAAAGAGCTTTAAAACTGCTTGATAATGCGTATGCCAAACCAATTTAACAACGGGAAACCCTCAAGATATTGTGGAGTAAACATAACTGTTTTTTTTAGCTGTTGCACATTTTTTTGCAGGTACATCAAATTATCATTATTATATATGATTATCTGTAATATATCAAAATTAAGAAGAAATATCGATTTCTTGTGATTGATTGTTACAACCTTAATGATTTTCCAAAAGAAATGTATTTTAAAAGAAAAATACAATTATAGCATAGCTTGCGGAACAAAAATGCACAAAAATACACTTCTCTAGGCAAATCTATAAACAAATATTAAAATACATTTATTTCATTTTGAGTTATCTCTCTTATCAGATTATCAATGAACCTTAAGCTACAATACAATAGTTAATGATTAGTTTTTGTCTCTGTAATATGCTAACTGCTCAATGCAAAGAAAGAAATGCGTATGCCAAACCAATTTAACAATGGGAAACCTTCAAGATATTGTTGAATAAAACAAAAACTGTATTTTCAGCTGTTGTACTTTTTTTGCAGGTACATTAAATTATTATTGTTACATATATCCATAATATATCAAAATTAAGAAGAAATAAATGATTGATTTGTTGTACTTTATTTGAAATATATTTTTTATGAACAGCTCATTATGGACAGCCAGGATATGGACAGCCGCCTCCAAGTTACGGTCAACAACAGTCAGGATTCAATCAGTATAATCAGTATCCACCGCCACCTGGTGTTAACCCCGCCTACCCTCCACCACCTCCACCTCAATACTAACCAATCAAAATGTCTTATAACATTTTGCTCAATTGTGCCATTCACTCATTGGGAAATCAGCGATCTTTGTAGAGTTAAATTTTCGAGTTTTTCGAGATATGAAGACGTATTAAAGTCCGCCATGAAATGTAATTTATCATAGATATTACTACACAACAATACTTCATCCACTAACCAATAATTTTCCGTAAAACCACGATTATTTTACCCCACCAAAATATGTGATTTTGTAGTATAGTTATATTTTTATCATTTTTAATTATTGGTATGGAAATCTTTTAAATGTATGGTATCTTTCGTATTGATGTATATAAACTGAAAATATTTTCTCACGAATTATAATAAATATTCAATTAAAATATACGAGGGTTGTCCCGTAAAATCGTGGACAAAGCGCTTTTCTCGAAAAGTAATGGGCACACGAAGCTGAAATTTTCAGTAAATGTTTATTCATCATATTTAAGTGTATCATAATGTTTTTGATAGTATATATGCGAAAATAAAGTTTTTATTCTGCTTAAATGTACACAGGGCACGGTCCTACGGCGCACGGTAAAAATAACAAGGTTATATAAGAGAATATACAAGTATTAATTCGTAATAACAGTTTTCAATACACAAGATTAGGATGAAAATTGTTCTAATTAAATTTCTTAATCAATTCTGTCGTCGTTTTGAAAATTTCAAGGCATTTGGTTAATTTTTGGCAGTTTCCCGAGCATTCGAAATGGGAAAGTGGTAAACACAATACACGAAAAATGGCGACGTTTGATGACGTTACGGCGCACCGGAGAACAGTTCAATTAGATTAGGATGTTGTAATGACACCTTAAGAGACTTTAAATGAATTCAGAAGAAAGAAAATATGAAAAACATCACCAGATCTTTGAAATATAAATGAAATGGAAGTTTTCTTAGCGAAGTTTTCTTGATCGAGACCCCAAGTAGTACAAAACATACGGACAGACTGCCATTGTAATAGCAAAAGCCGCTGTCACTGTCGACCGTCGATATGAGATTCTCTGTTAGTTGATTGATGGTAATAATACTGTCCGTAACTTGCTAATAAATCTTCAGAAGATCGCATGAGTGTGCCACATTGGTTCCTTAACGAGTTATAAACACTCACGTATGTAAATCAATAAAATTTCTAGATTTAAGTGGGGCTTATCAAACTTTACATTTAGCAAACATGAAACGCAACGCTGTTTTAGACACCTTGACGTGATAATCCGTGCGCCGTAAGGCGATACAGTACATAACATAAAATATCACACTTTGTTTATTTATGCATATATCTATTTGAAATTTGCTATGTATATTCATATTATATGTACTAAAGAGCAATGAAAATTTCAGAACGCAGTGATGATTATTTTTCAAACTAGACAATTTGTCCACGATTTTATGGGACAACCCTCGTATTATCAATTTTAATGATTCCTGCAAAACATTAATTATCAAATTCAGATATTAAACTTTTTCATCCAGGTGTTTATATATGCAGCATCAAATGATAGTAATATGTTTATATCCAATTTGCGACATTTCGATGCAAGAGATGTTTTTTTTATTTTATTAATGCTTTTATAAAAAATTATGGGAGTAAAGAAATTTAGATATTTTCTGTTTAAGTCTTGTCATAAAGGTTTTTTTATCCAACTATATCATTTTTTGTTTAAATTATATTTTGAGTTTTTTATTTTTTGATACACGAAATATGGTAAAATCATTTTTTAGAAGATGGCATAATTTAATGTTGATATCTTAAGAACATCCAACTTCTACAAAAATAGGATGGTATCCCATATTTTAATTCTGGGCCATTTTCTCTTCATAGAGTTGGCTAATTTCAATGAAATTCCAATGAAATTGAAGGAAAATTCGTGTGTGCATTTAAAGGACAAACTCTACGGCTGAGTTGACAAGAATGCTAAATTACCAGCTGTAATGCTTAAATAGATATTGATCAACTCAAATTTTACGATACTGTAAAATTATTTACTCTTGCCGTCAAGGTTCCATTTAGACTCTTTAACTTTTTCCTACATGAAACATAAACTATAATTAATTTATTTAAAAATGTGATAGGCTATCGTTTTTCTTATAGGTCGAAGTCTTTAGTGCTCATTATTTAGATTTACACCTACACAATTTTGTACATCTTAATGTAAAACGTATCTCCAGTTTAAGAATTGAAGTCCGTTTTCTTATAAAATAATTACCTTAAATACCTATAATTAATCTATACTGTAATTTCATAAACGAAGTTTAATGAGTGATGTTCTACACTTTTTTTGATTTTTTTAAACATAAAAAACAAGTTCATTTTCCATTGACCCCTTCTTTTGAAACTACCTCTGATGTCAGACTAGAGATTCTAGGAAAAATAATTTTGGTGGCTCTAAGAAGTGATTAACATGAGAACCTTGGTATACAATTTCAAATTTCCCATCGTAACAATAAGACAAATGTCATTTGGGAGTATATATAACTGGATTTCTACTTCTTATTCGTAGTTTTTGAAATAACGTGTTTTATAGCTACATGTAAATCTGAAGACCATATTTAAATCAAATTCATAAGCATGTCTCCGGCCCGGATATTTTTAATCGGTATCTTCAACATTTTAGGTTTTTTTTTTTAAATTTAATTCAAAATGTTTAGTACTGTATTTGCTAGTTTTAATCTATATCGATTTTTAAACAACTAACATTAAGGAGTTCGAAGGTCAGTCCCTAATTTTTTTTTCTTATATACTGAATGGAAAAAGAAACGCAGGGTAACAAAATATGCGAATTTTTTTTACTGCATAAACAAAATTGGTCAGATGAGAATCCTGGTTCTATGATCTTGATCTAAAGTCAGTGTTCAGAACTACTCAGCCGTGAAATGTGTGATGTCACGTTAAAAAAGTGCTAAAAAGCCAAAAACACGTGTAACTTGATGTTGATAAGTTTGTCAACGTTTTATGTGTACAATTTGATGCACTTGATGTATACCAATTGATTTTCAGTATTGATTTCACTCAACCTTGTCGCTGACATTGACGCGTAATAGAGCCACGTTAAGATCAAGTTACTCGTCCTGCCAAAACATTCATTAATAGAGTAGGTTATCATAATCAATATTATAATATACTCACCGTCAATAGGAACGCAACATCCTAATTTAAGGGGTGAAAATTATGTACGGGATATAACTATGTACCAAAAAAGTTAGGACATCTTTTACTTTGCCAAATCAGTTATTTAATGGTTGAATGATTTTCATTCCATAACCGGAAGTTGATTTTTAGCCCTCTGAACAGAAATCAAAGATTAGCATTTTTAATAAAATTATTGACAATATTTTGGGTTTCCAAGGTTTTGTACCTGTTAATCATACATGTAAGACTTGTACTAAAAGTCCGGAAAAACATCCTTCTTTCTTTTCCGGATGTGATGCCTGTATTTCCTCAAAGTAACTGAAAGCACGCATTTTCATTGCTAATGTTGGAAATTCTCAAAATAAAGAAAAGCGAGAGCTACAGATGCAAATATACACTACATAACGACTTTTCGGGCCCATGTGTTTCAAAAGCATGAATGACAGTTCCTTGACCGGACGTCCAAGGGTTACTACACTACGCCAAGTTAGAGAAAATTCGACCTCAGTATTTGAAAAACAGGCATTTAAAGATGCACAAGAATATTTATTTTGCTCAGGTTAAGATATTGATAAATCTACTGCATGGTAGAATTCGGGCTGTGTTTGTTGTACCTGGCGGACTAGGACGTTTTAATTGAATGGTCGGAAGGGGGGGGTGTTTTAAAAGTTATGTGTTACTTTCTAAGGTCTAAAGATAACATTTAAAGTTTAAATGAAGTATCAAAGTTTTGTAAATTTACTTTTTACATTTATGTATTCATTTTTAATCTCATCTTTAAACCTTATAAAGTAACACATAACTCTAAAACATCCCCCCCTTCCGACCATTCAATTAAAATGTCCTAGTCAGCCAGGTACAACACACAGCCCGAATTCTACCATGCAGTAGGTTTATCAATGTCTTAACCTGAGCGAAATAAATATTCTTGTGCATCTTTAAATGCCTGTTTTTCAGATACAGAGGTCGAATTTTCTCTAACTTGGCGTAGTGTAGTAACCCTTGGACGTCCGGTCAAGGAACTGTCATTCATGCTTTTGAAACACATGGGCCCGAAAAGTCGTTATGTAGTGTATATTTGCATCTGTAGCTCTCGCTTTTCTTTATTTTGAGAATTTCCAACATTAGCAATGAAAATGCGTGCTTTCAGTTACTTTGAGGAAATACAGGCATCACATCCGGAAAAGAAAGAAGGATATTTTTCGGACTTTTAGTACAAGACTTATGATTAACAGATACAAAACCTTTGAAACCCAAAATATTGTCAATAATTTTATTAAAAATGCTAATCTTTGATTTCTGTTCAGGGGGCTAAAAATCAACTTCCGGTAATGGAATGAAAATCTTTCAACCGTTAAATAACTGATTTGGCAAAGTAAAAGATGTCCTAACTTTTTTGGTACATAGTTATATCCCGTACATAATTTTCACCCCTTAAATTAGGGTGTTGCGTTTCTATTGACGGTGAGTATATAATAATTGAACGATTTTGATTTTTGACCTGGTCAACTTTACGTTGGTCTTATATTCACTGGCGCATGCGTGCGCAGTCTGCCTTATTTTTTTTTTCAGGTTTTCATTGTTGCCTTGGTTTATCAAGACTTTCTAACATTTACCCACTTTGCTGTAAAGTCCATCTTTTTCTTATTGAACATTAATTCATTTACGATTCTTTAAACGCTAGATAGAAAGTACAAGAAAATGTATGAGGGAGAATAAAATTATGTCACCTCAAAGGTTTACCCTGCATTTCTTCTTCATTCCAGTATACATGGTATATGTATAAATAAATTATTTTAAATTGGCCATGAAGCACAACTGTATAAAGTTACTTCACCTATTTAGGCATAATGGTTCGTGAATATTTTTTCTTGAAGGATTTTAACTATTGAGTGTCTCAATATCATTGCTAATTATTATTTTCCTAAGTAGATCGATTCCAGGAAGCGCATTATGCAGAAAGTATATTCATAAAGAAATAAATAACTTCACTAATATCCTATCATCTCCGTGAGGGTGTAATTGAAAAGTTGGTTTCAACACAATGTGCAATAAGATAAATTATTGACATTAAACAAACACCCGTATAAAAAAAATTAACAAATTTACACTTTGGACGATTTTACGTAAATGGAACCCGTGTCCACTTATTTTTTTATACTGAATACCGTAC